CAGTTTCTCCAGGAGGAGGGCTTCTAGCCTCCAGTGGAAAGTCAGCAGAGTAATTCTGTTAATTTCTGCTCTTCCTGTACAGGCGGCCTCTGCCCTGGGCAGTCAGTGCTCACCCCAAGAGAAGAGTTGAAGATGTTCGGCCAATATTCTGGGCCTCTAGGCCAAAGAGTTACATCTATCGAACTCAAGAGTGGGATGATTTCCCCAATGGTCGATGGTAAGCTGTCAGCCTGCAACGGCAGGGAGGTAGAGGTGTTGTATGAAAGTCTGTTGCACAGTTGGTTTCAGCTTTGGGCTCAGGAGTTAGCAGGTGTCCTAAGCACACCTTGGGGTGCGGCTGAAATGGTGACTTCTTACTGAAGTGGTTCCCGACTGCTTGGAGTTGAGTGAGGTGAGGATAATAGCACCAAAGTGCTAAGGCTTTTGGTTTCTAGATGGATTGTGCTGGATATGCCTCCTCTTTTTGGGTGACTGTTGCGTTGCATCACCATATCAGCTCATCTTATTCCTCAGTGGCCTGTTAATCCAGTGTCTGCTCCCCTCACAGGGGTAACTCCTCCTCTCCGGCCTTTGGGGAACTGAAGGACTATTATCTCTTCTACTTGAAGAGCAAGTCTCCCCGGGAGGAGCTCCTGAAGATGTGGGGAGAAGAGCTGACCAGTGAAGAGAGCGTCTTTGAAGTGTTCACATGTTACATCACTGGAGAGCCCAACAAGAACGGACACAGGGTGAGCGATGGCCCAATAAAGGGCAGGTCAATGTGGCACAGACAACAGTTCGCATATACCCTTGCTCTTACAACTGTGTTCTCCTAAACAAGGATTCACACTCCCCTCTATCCAAAAGAAAATGCTGGGATAGTGGGATACTCCTACCATATGGAATCCAGCAACCAGGGGTAGGACTCGGCAAAAAAAATGAAGCTGCTGCAGCATGGCAGAACCAGCAGTGACAGGCTTCGGCAGTCATCCTCAGTGTTGAGGAGATCCTGTCACTTGAACCAAACATGGAAACTGTCTCCTGAGGCAGGCGTATTGGACAGCATTAGGGCACCTCTGAGTTCCTTCAACACCCAGCTGTTAACCAAAGGGTTATTGCCTGCATTGTGAGCCATCCTCTCTCTTTGTGGCAGGTTACATGTATGCCTTGGAACGATGACCCTCTTGCTACTGAGACCAACCTTCTGAAAGAGCAGCTGGAGAAGGTCAATAGACGAGGAATCCTGACCATCAACTCCCAGCCAAACATCAATGGCAAACCATCTACGGATCCCATTGTAGGCTGGGGGCCCAGCGGGGGTTATGTCTTCCAAAAGGTACTGCATTCCTCTGGGCTAGGTACCCAGTTTGGGCTCTGTTAGGTGGGAGGTCCTAGACTTTCACGCAGATACCTTGCCCGTTCCTTATCCTAATGCCTTCCATGCTGAGACAAGGAAAAGCTCCTCTGGTGTCACAGGAGACACAGACTACGTCATCTCTGTGGCTTACTTCCGTAGCTGTTTTCTCCCCCTTCAAAACCCTTCCTTCTTTTTACTCTCAAAGTAATTGCTAGCAATGCATTTCTACAGCAGGGCGATGAAATTATTCATCTCATCTAAACTGGGTACCTTGAGTTGCCACATGTTAGGACACTGGTCACCGTGAAGTTCCCTTGGGTATTTTAGATACAAATACATGCCTGCCCACTGCATCTGATCCCATTCTGTGATGCTGGAAACACTGAGGGCTTTTGGATAAAATGGAAAGCAATGAGGCGGTATCTGTACCGCAGAGCTTCTCATGCTAATAGCGGGCCTTTAGAAATTCTCCTCCTTTTCTGTTCTAAGGCAGGGTTCTCCACCAATTGCCCCCACCACACAGCACTACTGTTGTGCTGTTGAGAAAGTTGCCGGGTTCCTTCTGTGGCCTGCCAGCAGTCTTACCTCCCACACCTTCCTCTTACTATCACGCATTTTGAGGCCCTCCTCAGAGTTGCTCTCCAGCACTGCCAGAGCCTAGCCAGTAAGGGCAATGACAGGAACCTCCTCTGTCAAGGTAAATGCCAGGCAAGAGACTACAACTGGGGAACAAAGCAGCCTTGTTCAAAAGGGATCCAAATCGCCAAAGCCATGAGACCAGCAGATGGCAAATGCAGTTAAATTTCCAAAAATTTCCCCGGAGGTGAGGGGAAATCCATCATCCAACACAATAGCCAGGAAATGGGGGGAAGGGGAAGCAGTTGTTGAGAGCAGCCAAGCATAGAGCAGCAGTAAATGGAACAAGCACAGAATTGGGTTGTGTGAGCACAGAGAGGACTGCAAACAAAAGAGGAGCGCTGGGAATGGTGGGGTGCCTGGGAGAGTCCAGCTGAGACCCCTTGCTTCTCCTCCCAGCGGACTAGGCTGCTGCAGCACGATGCTGCTCTTCAAAGGCTACCCCGTAGAAAAGAGGTCAAGCTCAGGCCTCTTCCAAGCAGTCTGCCTGGCAGGGGCTGCTTTCCAGGCACAGCAGTTGTTACGCTGCCTGGGGCATATTCCCGACTGTCTGTTTACATGGGTGCAAAAGGGGCTCTTGCAGCTCCTGGGCTGTTACCTCTGCCCTCCCTGACTTCTCCCCGCCAGCTCTCTTACTAATTTGCTCTGCCTTTGCTTGAGCCACCTCTGTAATACTTGTTTCTGGGGATAGGCACACAGCTCATGCTGCCCAGCTTCCATACAGCACAGTCTCCAGAACTGTTCTCACAGTTGCCCCTACATGTCCCAGCCTGGCCATGAGTTAAGGCTCTTATTACTCTCTCCCCCTTCACCACCCTTGCAGGCATACCTAGAGTTCTTCACCTCCAGTGAGATCGTCACGGCACTGCTCAAAGTGCTGAAGAAGTACGAGCTGCGGGTGAATTACCACATTGTCAACGTCAAGGTAGGCTGCTGTTTATGGGAGCCTTTCCTTTCACCACCTTGTGAGAGAAGCAAACATCAGATTCAGACACCCGCAGGAACACAGTGGGACATGAAGGGAGGGTAAAGTGAAACTAGTTAGCTGTGATCTGCAGCAGCTATCTGATCCCTTAACAAGGAGAGGGTAAATACACTGGCTCAGTCAATACCTGCTTCTGAAGCAGCTGCTTCAGAAGGCATTTCCTTCCTTTGGCAGGGCCAGAATATCACCAATGCTCCTGATCTGCAACCCAATGCTGTCACCTGGGGCATCTTTCCAGGCAGAGAGATCATCCAGCCCACTGTAGTGGATCCTGTAAGCTTCCTCTTCTGGAAGGTGAGTCCTCCCTCCTGTTGGGTACATTGCTGTCATGCCCAGAGAGTTCAGTGTCTGTTTGTTTGTACTCTCATGTCTGTAACGCTTATCACCACTGTATTCAATTGTGAGATTAGCCTAAGGTCCAAATACAGCTCCTCCTGTTTCCTCGGTTTCAGGAGAGCTTTGTCCCAGCAAGAGCTTTTCGCAGACACAAAGATGCAGTAAGAGGAGGCTGGAGAGCTACTGGTGTCACTGTACTAGTCTCTGGAGCTCTGGGCTGTACCTCTCCCTCCCCTCTCACACACAGAGAGGCAGTATTGAGCCATTTTACTGCAAGAGCACCTCCTTTCAACTGTGTTCAGGGCACCACTGATTGTGAAAAGCAGGAGGCTCCCTGCTCAGCTCTTGGCTTATTTTTAACTGATACAAAAAGCAGCAAGCCACAGGCTTGCCAGCCATACCTAACACCTGGTTGTCCTAAATGAGGCAGTATGAAAATACAGCTCTGTAACGTGTATGTTACACCCCTACAAACACCTTTTTTTCCCCCCCCCCCGTGGCAGGATGAGGCCTTTGCACTGTGGATTGAGCAATGGGCCAAGCTCTATGAAGAGGAGTCACCCTCTCGCATGATCATCCAGTACATCCATGACAACTACTACTTGGTCAACCTGGTGGACAATGACTTCCCCCTCGAAAACTGCCTCTGGCAGGTTGTGGATGACACTTTTGAGCTGTTGAATTCTCCAACAGAGCAGTGACAATTCTTCCTCTGTCCCCTTATCTCCTCCTTCCGTCCACTGACTGCAGGGAGAGAAAAAGCAGCTCCTATTAGGGTGATGGTGGACCACACACTCCTAAATCCAGTGAGCACCTCTGCTCAGAGCTGGGCTAGCTCTCTAATCTACCCACACTACATGCTTTTCTATCCCCAAAGCAAAGGTTCCCTGGTCCCTTCTCACTGAACAGCAGCCAGAACCATCTGAACTTCTGAGCTGAGGATTTAGACTGAGCTTGATGGCCAGCTCTGCACAGTGAAGAGGCGCTGAGCATTGCTATGTTGATTACAGGTGTAGGAGAACCTTTGTGTGCGGATATGAGGAGGCTCAGGGGATACTGGTCATCTTCTCATTCCAGAAACGCTGCTGTGCGGCCAAAACCACTCCTATCATCAGTACCTATGCAAGGAGGCTATTTCAGCATAGTTACCCAACCCTGAAGTGAAGCTCAAGCTACTTTTTCATTGCACTCCTAAGATGTGTTTGATCATAACTGATCCTATCAGACTCTCATACTCACTCCAGAAGGTTCAACTTTTCTCCTGTTTGTCCCCTTTTACTATATTTCCTGTTCACCTTTTGATAGGGATATGTGAATTTCACTTCTGGGTGAGGAGGAGTAGGAGTCACAGTGCTTCTTTGACTGAGGACAATAAAATGCATAAAAATGCAAATGTCGTCTTGTACAAGGCTATACTCTTGTAAGCAGCACAAGGAATATTGTTTGCAAACTAATCTCCTCAGGACAAAGGTTTTAAGAAAAAAATTGTTCTGGAGCAGCTCTGCCAGTATTTCCAATAAGGACCCTAAATAGAGTCTGGACAAAGCTCAGTGGTAGGGCAAAAAGGCTTAAATCCTAGTATTAGCAAAAGCAGCCAGCCACAACCTTTGGCTCAGTTCTGCAAGGCCCCAAGAACTTCC